GTAACTCTATGGGACAAGGAAACATGACACTTTCTATAAACCCTCTTAGCCACAATGGAATCACCAATCGGGGTAGAGATAGAAAAAGGTTCTAACAACACATCGGGGAGCATATCAAATCTCATTGCCACATATGGCATCACAAAGGACAAAGTAGCACCGGGATCATGCAAAACATATACATCTATTTGGAAAACATTCAACATACCGGTGACCACATCCGGAGAACTCTCTTTTTCACCTTTAGTTTGAAGAGCATAGAAACAGTTTTGCTTAGGAGCCTTGGAACCCGAATCACTGGGAGTAGGTTGCTTTCCCTCTCTTCCCTTAGCCGTAAGCATTGGTCAATCCCTTATTTTTGACCACTTTTACCACAACCATAACAACTATTTGTGCCGACTAGATACCTACCATCGTGCTTCCTTCCACACTTAGTACAATTAGACATGGGCAACGAAGATCCACCACCATTACCTCCTTGAGGCTTAGGGTTAGACACCCTATCTTGGTTTAACTTTGGAGGAGCATTGGAGGAACCTTGATCAGAGAACCTTCGTCGGAATCTTGGACGACCTTGTCCATCAGACCTTGTGTTAGAGGAATTACTATCACCGGTCTTAGCCCTTTTTGCCTCCCTAGATATTTCCTTGAGTTTATCCTCTTCAACTTGTTGTGCATGAACCATGAGGCAAGAGATGTCCATATCCTGCATGAGTATTACAGTTCGGCACTCTTTAACAACCATTTTAGAGACACCCGATATAAACTTACTCATCTTAGCCCTTGAATCCACGACCATAGATGGAGCATACTTAGACAATTGAGTGACCTTTAGAGCATACTCCTTCACACTTAAACTTCCTTTTTGAACATTAAGGAACTCTAGTACCTTGGCTTCCCTCATCTCAAGGGGAAAGAACCTATCAAGAAACACGACTTTAAACTTCTCCTAATCAAGAGGACCCACATCTTCCGGCCACCCTTCTTTCCATTGAACAACCCTAAGTCAAAACTTCCAATTAGACCTCTTAGCTAATTTAGTTAGTTTTAATTTACAACACACTCACATACCGTCATTCCAAGGGTGTTTCTAACTACAATTCAACATTCAAACACTTGATTTACAACCCAAGGTCAAGTTCATTGTTGTGATTTCAATATGAAACTATGAAATGTTCAAAGTTTGGGAGAAATCAACTTACCTTACATGTAATCAACAACGGTGAGTGTGTGATCGTTTACAAAACCTCCTAGAATAATGTGGACACCGAACCCAGACCGTGAAATCGCTTGGGGAAGAATATGGGAATGTTGGAATGATTTGGGATAGAAAAGGGGGCTATGGGAGAAGGAAGATTGATATGTATCAATTTGGGGAGTGATATGAGGGTGATTAATTTATAATTGTGGGTATTTTGAGGGTTAAAAATAGTTGGGAAGGAATTTTTGAAGTGGGAGATGTTTTTAAAAATGAAAGGTTTTATAAAAAGGGGTCTAGGTCGGGTCAGGCAGAAACCCTAGTCTGGACCCACAAGACCCCATCGACGGTTCATGGGTCGACTTATGGTCCGTCGATGGGGTCCGTAGGTCATACTGACACTTACATAAATTGGAATGATTACCTTGGATCTACGCACATTATCCATGGTCTGTAGTTTGACAAACAGATCGTCGATGGGGCTCGCAGACCACTACACAACTATTTTCTGCAGATTTTGCCTCTTTGTCCCTGCTTATGTAGCAACCATTAAGACTTTCTTTATACATTTTTTGGACACGTTTTAGACACATACCCTACTCTATATCTAGCCAACACTAAACGAAAAAATAAATACCTATCTAAAGAGTTACAAAATTAAAAATAAAGAAGAAAACTCCTATATCGAAAAGAAACTCCTATAGTTGGCTAGATTGTACATCTTCGGTTGCCTCCCAAGAAGCGCTTGATTTAATGTTGCGGCACTACACATAAACCTTGATTACTAAGACTTCATCAAGGTAATAAGGCTCTATCACTTCTTGCACACTCTCAGATTTCCCAAAGTAGACTTTTATCCTCTGTCCATTCACCTTAATCCTCGTCCCTTCCTTGTTCTCTAGATCAACTGCTCCATGTGGAAATTCTAGAGTTACTCTAAATGGCCCGGTCCACTTGGACTTGAGCTTGCCAGGAAACAACCTTAACCTCGAGTTGAATAAGAGCACCAGATCACCAACAACAAATTCATGCTTTCAATCTTTTGATCACGGTACTTTTTCATCTTCTCTTTATACAAGGCAAAACTTTCATATGCGTTTAGGCGAAATTCATCAAGCTCATTCATATCCATTAGCCTTTGACTCGATGCGACGCTCCAATCCAAAAGCAACTTCTTTAGCGCCCACATTGCTTTATGTTGTAGCTCTACAAGCAAATGACATGACTTCCCATATACAAGTTCGTAGGGGGACATACCTATAGGAGTCTTGAATGCGGTGCGACATGCCCATAGAGCGTCATCAAGCCTTCTTGACCAATCAATTTTGTTGGCGTTTACACTCTTTGCAAGGATTTGCTTTATCTCTTTATTTGACACCTCAACTTGCCCACTAGACTACGGATGGTAAGGAGTGGTTACATTGTGAGGAACTCCATATTCTCTAGCAACACCTTAAAAAACTTATTACAACAGTGAGAGCCTCTATTGCTGATAATTGCCCTAGGTGTACCAAATCTGGAAAATATACTCTTTTTCAGGAATGTGGTGACACTCTTTCCCTCATTGTTTGAAAGTGCAATTGCTTCTACCCATTTCGATACATAGTCAACCGCAACAATAATATACTTCATCCTATGTGAACTTACAAAAGGAACCATGAAGTCAAGACCCCAGACATAAAATAGCTCAATCACTATCGGGTTCATAGGTAGTTCTTTTTTCTTTGCAATTCCTCCTTCTCTTTGGCAACAATCACAAGACTTTGCGAAATCATGAGCATCTTGGTGGATGGTAGATCAGTAGTACCCACACTGCAAGATTTTATGAGCAATTGGAATACCACTATGGTGCCTAGGCGATGAACGACACACCTCTAGTATACTCATCATCTTAACCTCGGGCACACAACGGCTAATAATCCCATCAACACAACTACGAAACAGGTAAGGCTCATCCCAAAAGAATTTCCTCACATCAAACATACACATATTCCTTTGGTGAAATGACAAATCCAATGAAACCAAATCGCTTGCCAAGTAGTTAGCAAAATCTGCGAACCAAGGGATAAAAGCTTAGGAAGCTGCCAATACCTGGTCATCTGGGAATGCATCATTAATCTCAGCCCCATCTCCCAACTTGAGCATAGCTTCCTCCTCCAATCTGGATAAATGGTCGGCAACCTGATTTTTTGTTCCCTTTCTATCCTTCACCTCAAAATTGAAATCTTGCAGCAATAATACCCATCTAATCAACCTCGGTTTTGCATCCTTTTTAGCCATCAAATACCTCAATGTAGAATGGTCAGTAGGCACTATGATCTTAGTACCAAGAAAGTAAGATCGAAATTTCTCGAATGCGAAAACCAGAGCAAGGAGTTCCTATTCAGTCACAATATAGTTCTTTTAAGCCACATTCAGAGCCTTGTTGGCATAGTAAATCGGATGAAAAATATTTTCTCGCCTCTGTCCCAATACCACACCAAGCGCCACCCGACTCGCATCATACATCACTTCAAATGGTTGCCCCCAATCCAATGAAATAATGATAGGTGCTAATACTAACCTTGCTTTCAACTCTCCAAATGCTCCCAGACAAGCATCATCAAAATCAAACTTACACTCCTTTTTGAGTATCTTGCACAATGGGTCTGCAATTTTTTGAGAAATCTTTTATAAACCTCCGGTAGAAACCTTTATGCCCAAGAAAACTCTGAATACCTTTTATAGAGATAAGTGGTTGAAGATTTTCTATTACCACAACTTTGGGTCTATCAACCTCAATACATTTATGCAATATCTGATGACCCAGAACTAACCCTCTTTAACCATGAAGTGACACTTTTCCCAATTGAGCACAAGATTACACTCTTCACACCGTTTGAGTTTCTCGGCCAAATGCATCAAACAATCATCAAATGAGTCACCCACCACAAAGAAATCATCTATAAATACCTCAATCGTTTCCCCTACCATATCTGAAAATATCGACACCATACACCTCTGGAAAGTCGCTGGAGCATTACACAACCCAAATGACATCCTTTTGAAGGCGAAAGTCCCATATGAACAAGTGAAAGTGGTTTTCTCTTGATCTTCCGAAGCTAAGAAGATTTGATTGTAGCCTGAATACCCATATAGAAAGAAATACCAATCCTTACTAGCAAGACGATCTAGCATCTGGTCCATGAACGACATCGGGAAGTGATCTTTTTCTGTCCAAGCATTAAGCTTGCGGTAGTCCATACATACTCTCCATCTAGTCACCGGACTCATCAGAACAAGCTCATTTATCGCATTAGCAACCACATTAATCCCATCTTTCTTAGGTACACACTGAATAGGACATATCGAACTACTATCTGCAATAGGGTATATAAATCCAGCATCCAACTATTTGATAATTTCCTTTTTCACTACCTCTTGCATAGGTAGATTAAGTCTCCTTTGATGCTCAATACTTGGCTGGCTGTCCAGCATGAGTTGGATTTTATGAGAACAAATGCCAGGAGGAATCCCAATATTGTTCGCAATAGTCCATCTAATAGCCCGATTGAACTTCATCAAAATAGACACCAAAGCCTCAACTTGCTCCTTGCTCAAATTTGCAACAATGATTACCGGTAAAGTGCTATCTCTCCCCAAGAATACATACCTCAAGTGTGATGGTAGAGCCTTGAGTTCCAATTTTGGAGCCTCTTTTACAGACGGTTTTGCAGGTGGAGAGTCACGATTCTTCATATCAAACTCCAATCATTTTTGTTTGGAATAGAATTCAAACCTATCAAGTGTGGCAACTAATTCATCAGTCTTCAATACCATCACTGTCAAAATTCATCATTACTGCTGCCAGTGCATCACCACCTAATCTCTCTTCAATAGACACTTCGGAAACTCGCTCCACAATATGATTCACCACTAATACCGACTTAAGATCACTTTCCTGCTTCATAGACCTACAAATATTAAAATTCACTTCCTCATTATTCAGTCGGAAATTCATCTGTCCTCTCTCCATATCGACTAAGGCACACCCTGTAGCAAGGAATGGTCTCCCTAAGATGATGGGGACCTCAAAATCAACCTCACAATCAAGTATCACAAAATCCGCTGGAATAATGAATGACTCCATTTTCACAAAGATATCTTGGAGAACACCAATAGGCTTCTTCACAGTTCTATCAACCATGAGTAGACGCATCACAGTCGATTTTAGAGCCCCTAAACCCAACTTCTTGTAGATCGACAATGGAATCAGATTAATGTTGGCACCCAAATCACACAAGGCCTTTGCAAAATGCAACATCCCAATGGCACAAGGAATAGTGAAAGCTTCAGGATCCTCATTGTTTTGCACTAGTGACCGCGTAGCAATAGAACTACAATGTTGCAACCTTTCTTCATCCTCAAAACTCACAGACCTCTTTTTGGTCAACAAATCCTTCATGAACTTTGCTTAACCATGCATTTTCTCCAAAGCTTCTATCAACCGAACATTAATGGAAAACTGTTTCAACATAGTTATGAACCCACAATATTTTCCTTCTTCGGTCTTCTTCATCAATCTCTGTGGAAATGGAGGTGGAGGTCTAGGCATGGGAATAACTTTTTGGGTCACCTCCGCTTCCTTCTATGTAGCATTTTTTGAATCTCCAGTAACCTCAATCTCTTCTGCATCTTTTTCTTCCACAATTTCAACCTCATACGATATAGAGGTGTCAACGGTCTATTTATATCCGCGAGTAGTGACTGCCATACAATGCCCATCATTTTTCGGATTTTGGATGGTGTTTATATGAACTGTGTCAGGATGACGTGGTTCACAGTGGAGGACAATTGGCTAAACTGCTGCTCAAGTTGCTTGATTGACCCTACATAGGCATCAACTTTTTGACCGATTCAACAAAAGTCATTTCACATCTCTTTCACATTCTCATCAGTTGTATCAAACCTTATCATCATCTTTTGCATCATATCCTCAATGCCCGACATACTACCACCAACCTATCTATTACTAGATTCTCCATTAACCGGTGGAACATACGGTCCAAATATCTCATTCATGTTGCCATAGTTGTTTCAATTGTAGTTGTTATCATGATTGTAGTTCCCATCTCGGACATAGTTTCCCTCACGGTTGTAGTTGCCATAGTTCCGACATTGGTTTCCTTGACCTTGGCGCCAATTATCCGAGTTGGAACTTTGGGCGTTGGTTCGGAAACCCCCCATCTGATCATTCACCAAATATGCATCCTCTTCATAGTAACATTCTTCAACTGGTAGTGGTGGAGTTCTATTTAAGTATTTTACCGCATTTACCTTTTTTGCACTTCCACTCACATGCTTCAATACCAAGCCCAATTCTGTTCTCATTTGAGCCATCTTTTCACGTATATCTTCATTGGCTTTATTTGGTGTAGTTTGGACTGCAAATATGTTTCTACGAGTATTCACTTTTCTAGTGCTCCATGCCTTATTGTTTCGGGCAATCTTCTCCAATTTTTCAGCGATCTTCTCAAAAGTGCACTCACCATATGATCATTCAACAATAGTAAGTGGATATTGATTTGAGATGAAAGCTCTCACGTGAGTTAAGGTAGGGTTTCTAGTAGCAATCTCTTGAGATGGATGCTCTCACGTGAGTTGAGGCAGGGTATCTAGTAGAAATCTCCCTATCCCATAACTATTTGCCCACATAGGTCTAGCTAGTGGATCCACCTAAGCTAAAAGTAATGGTCCTACCTTAGGCAAGTAGGAATCCCATATCTGGTGAGGGTGACACCGGGATTCCATGAGTTGCTCACATGGTCTATGTCGGTTAAGGCTTACCCCCCACAACGAATGTTAATGAAGTATGGCTTATCAAGAATGCACTACTTAATGTGGGTGGTAGTATGGGATGCCATCCATGCATTTCACAAGTAGGTTTTGAGAGTAGACATGGTATGTTCCTTTATGATACAATGTTAAGTGAAATGAATGTGCTCTTATGATGATGCTAAGAGAATGTTGGTTTAATGTCTAATGAATAAAGGTTCTCTTAATGAAGATAATGAAGAATGTTGACTTATGTGCTTAATGAGATGATGTATGCTTTACTTGGATTGTATTATGAGTTACTTCCTTGTCATGACTTATTGAATATGAATGTGCCTTGTCTATGGTGGCTTCAAAGGAGTACTTAGTGTGAATAGTAGTATCGGATGCTATTCATACATTGCACAAGTATGACTTAGGGTTGCCCTAGATGATGGTCCTAATGTGTTGATATGACTTATGAAATGTTTATGTTCCTTATGTATGAGCATGGTTCAAAGGTGAAAAAAATGAATGGTATGTTCACTTTTGGTGGCCTTGATGTGGTACTTAGTGTGGATGGTGGTATGTGATGCTATTCATACATTGCACAAAGTATAGCTTGAGGGTTACTTAAGGTGAATGCTTAATGTGATGAAATGGTTTATATGTTGATTATGTTCTAATGTGATGAAAAGACTTGTATGTTGGTTATGTGTGTATATTATTCCTCTTATACTCATGTTCATGAAGTTTTCTCAAATTGGCATGAAAGCACGATTTCAAATAAAATGTCCATTTTAAGCATGGATTTTGCATGACTATCATACTTTGTACATCTAATGTGCTAACCCATATTTTCTCCTTTTTACCAACTGTAGGGTTTGGAGATTTGATGTTCTATATTTGAAGGTTAGGTTTCTAAGAAGCAAGGAGATGAAGATTGGTGAGTCCTCATAGTTTCGAGGACGAACCTACTATTTTCCCTTTATGTATTTTAATTTATGTTTCGAGATTTTGTATGGCCTTAGTCCCAAAGTTTTATTCAAAGTATTGTAGATGGTTTAAGACAAAGTATAGAAAGACTTCCGTTTTTGTTTTTATGAAAAAGTACTTTGATTGTAAAAGAAAAGTTTTAAATTCCGCATTATTTTCCTATGTTCTTATGTTGAAGAGTGCTATGAGACTTTTAGGAGTCTTGTACGCCGTGTCACTTACGGGGTGTAGGCTCGGGTCGTGACATAAATGCATAAACACTATTCAAGAACTACATAATTATTATTCATACTTTGTTAATTGCTCATGGTTCCCACAACCCTAGTTGTCAATTTAGCTACTCATGCTTGAGAATTCAAAATTCATAATTAGGCTAAAAGAATTCATGAACTTACAAGTAGAATAGATGAAAACCCATATCTTGAATTGAATTTCAAAGTGAAAATTTTATCAAAGGAATTCCGCAAAACAAATTGCTAAAAGTTTGCAAGTTAATTCCCAAAACACCAAAAACTAGAAGTATACAATAATGTCTAACCCCCAAAAACAAGGATTACAACTCCTATATATAGAAAACAAATCCTAAATAAAATAGGAAACAAAATAAGGAAATAAACTGCAAGGACCGGACTTCAGTCGACGACTTGACCTACGGATCGTGGATCGACCTACGGTCTGTAGGTCCCCCTCCGTTACACTTCGAATAATCAATTAGGTACTGGAACTTCAACTTTCTGATCTTCATCAACAGATGTGCCGGACGGCCCGTGGGTCGACCTACGGTCTGTCGTTTGCTTCGTGGTTCCACACTTGGTTAGACTTTCTTGATCGTACACCTACAATACATCACCTACGGTCCGTGGGTTGGGCTATGGTCCGTCCTGTCAGTCCGCGGTTTGAGTTCTGAAAGTCAACTCACAGACCAAGACTTACGACTTCCCACACACGGCCCGTCAATGTACCTATGGTACGTCGGTGTCTACTTCTGTACTTTATAGCTTGCATCTTCATCAACCACATCCAAGCCTATTTCCTGCAAGAATTATAAACAAAACATTATTTATAATAACAAAATGTCCAAAGACACACACAAACTCTAAGTGAAACATATAAAAAATACCATAAACTCACGGTATATCAGAAACCCAGTCTCTACATACGGGAGAGCTTCCATCTCATATTCAATATCCACTAGATGCTAAGCATAAATTCCTATGAAATAGTCATTTCTTACTTAATTTCATTACTTATGAAAGGGTGCCCTTGGCCTATCGATTCAAGTTATTTTCATTAGGATAACTCCTTAGACCATGCGTGAGAAAACCTTTCACCATCTATGATCACTATTAATCTTTGATTCAATTAGGTGAGAAAGCCTTTCAACCTAAGAATCCTTACTATGTGAGAAAACCTTTCACATCATGCTAGTATGTGTGTAAGTGAGAATGTCCTTTCACAACACAACATCATCATCATAATCATTGATACTTTACTCTCAAAGTATCCTTGAAGCATTTTCATAAATTTCATAAAGACATTTCCCTTTCAAGGTTGAAAGCCTACTTTCAATCATCACATCTGGAATTCAAGCATTAGACATGGATTTCATTATAACTCATGTGATTCTATCAGTTCATGCATAAGTTCATAAAATTCCTCTTTCATCATCAAAGACCCACATCATATTATCACAATTGAGAAATATGGGAATTACATGGGTTCATGAGGAACCTCATAAAAATCATAAGAATTCATCAATTCATGCTTTATATAACTCAATCCAATCAATTAAACCAAGTTTGAAAGGAACCCATGGTAATTGAAGAAAACCCTCATAATTAGGGTCTTCTACCTTTTTAAAATTGGAGATTTCGAGAGAACTTCATGGATGAAAGGAATCCATGGATGAAAACTACCATACCTTTCTATCATAGCCCAAAGAAATTGAATTATGAAAGGTTGCTCTTGAACCCTATCTTGAATATCCTCTTCTTCATCAAGTTTCTAGAGAGAGAAATATTTGAGAGGAAGAACTTTGGGGATTTATTTTCGGTTTTGGAAATAATGACTTGAATGGGGAGTTTTAAAGTTAAAATGACTTCTATATGAGCCTTAGACTTAGGCAAAACGACATGGCTTTAGTCTAATTAAAACTGGAAAAGACTTATTAACCCCTAGTTACAGTGGTCTGCCTCACCCTTCACGAGGATCTCCACGAGCCGTGGTCCCTTTCGTGGTGATGAACCAGTAGCTTGGCAACCCCCTTCCTTAACCCCAAAAACTAAGTCATCTCCACGAGCCTTCCCACGAGCCGTGAAGTGGCTCGTGAAGAAGGAGTTGTTTTGGGTAGCCTTGAGGAGGCTATTACCTAGCCCACCATGAGCCACACCATGAGCTGTGGTCCTCACCACTGGCAGTGGTGGTGGTCGTGAAAGGTTGGGCAATGTTAAGGAAAGAGTAGGCTGCCCTAGACTTTACCCTTGGCCCTTGCCCTCTTCCTTGAACCTAGTCCTCTCACTTAGGCCTAGTTTAGTTTAGTAGATTTTCGAGGTGTTACCAAAAGAGAAACAAACGGAGTCGGATTGTCTCTTGAGATATATTCTTGAAGGAGAACGGTCCACACACATCCACAAAAATCTGAATGTGGTAATGAGG